CCCCAAAACCCCAAAACCCCAAAACCCCAAAACCCCAAAACCCCAAAACCCCATAGAGTTCAAATTAAATAGAGATCGAATTATATAATAAATTTAGTAAGTAATAACATGGAAAAAGACGTAGCTAAAATTACCTCAGATCTGTCCGGAGTCAAAATAAAGAAATCACTATTCGGCTCAGTAAACTCACACCCAATCAAAGAAGTATATAAGATAACTCGTAAAATCGGAAGTGGAGCATATGGAGAAGTACGTAAATGATATGTCCGTGAATCAGGGGAATTGAGAGCTGTAAAAATCATTAAGAAGAAAGCTCTCGCTGAAGAGGAAAGGAAGAAGCTCAAGAACGAAGCAGAAATTCTCAAGGAATTAGACCACTTCAACATCATTAAGCTCTATGAAATTTTCGAAGACAAAAAGTATTATTACATCATTATGGAATTTTTGACTGGTGGAGAGCTTTTTGAGAAGATCACCGACGAAAGTTTTTATGGAGATTTCACTGAAAAAGACGCTGCTAGCATCATGCAGCAAGTGTTCAGAGGAATCAACTACTGCCATGCCAACAATGTTGTTCATAGAGACCTCAAGCCTGAGAATTTGTTGCTTGAGAGCAATGTAACTTCTGAAAGTTTAGGGGGGAAGAAATAGCATGAAGATTAAGATTATTGATTTCGGTACTGCCCAGCAATTCGAAGTAGGAGGAAAAGGCAAGATGGAAGAGAGATATGGAACACCTTATTATATTGCTCCAGATGTACTAAACAAGAGTTATAATGAAAAATGCGATATTTGGTCCTTGGGAGTCATTCTCTACATTTTGCTCGTTGGCTACCCTCCTTTCAATGGTTCTGAAGACAAGAAAATTATTGATGCTGTCAAGAAAGGGGTCTACACTCTTGATGAACCCGAGTGGGATGACGTTTCAAGTGAAGCTATTGACTTAGTCAAGAAATGCCTGACTTACGACCCAGAAAAGAGGGCTAGCGCTTCTGAAGCCCTCGAACATCCATGGTTCAAGAAGTTTGCAAAAGGAGAGAAAGTGAAGAAATCGCTAGCATCAAAAGCTTTCATCAACCTCAAGAACTTCAGGGCAGGACAAAAACTAAAGCAGGCAGCACTCTCTTTCATTGTGTCGCAGTGCTTGAACCAGAAAGAGACCGACGAAATGGAGAAGATCTTCGCAGCCATGGACAAGAACAACGACGGAATGCTCAGCAAAGAAGAAATCAGCGAGGGATATGAAGAGCACTTCGGATACCCGATTGAAGACGAAGAGTTGGACAGCATATTTAGCGCCATTGACACAGACGGAAGTGGAGCCATTGATTACTCAGAGTTTTTGATTGCCACTATGAACATGCAGCAACTTATGTCAAAACAACATCTAAAGCAAGCCTTTAAAATGTTTGATAAAGACAACTCTGGGACAATCTCAAAGGAAGAAATTAAAGAAGCTCTAGGGAATCTTGAAGAAGATATTGTCGATGTTATTGTTTCCGAGGTTGATGACAATGGAGATGGAGAAATCTCGTTTGAGGAATTTGAGAGGATGATGAACATCGTAGTTAATTGTAAAAGTCTCCCCCAGAAATCAGGTGATGCATCTTAAGTTGAAGGAATGAGTAATGAGGATTAAAAACACTTCAATTGAAAGGCCATATCTGTATTAGACAGAAATAAGGAAGAATGTTTGGGGTTTTGGCTGGTAGAATATCGAAAAATAGGTCTTAGTCAATTTTATCAGAGTTGATAGAATAGTCCAAAATATTAGTTTCAGTTCTAAGATAATAAAAAGGGGTTTTGGGGTTTTGGGGTTTTGGGGTTTTGGGGTTTTGGGGTTTTGGGG